AAAAAAAAAAAAAAATCCTTCTAGCCTCTCCCTGTGTCCCCTCCCCAGAACTGGTCCCTCCCTACTGCACCCACACCAGGCCCAGCTTCCTTTCTGGTTCTATTCATCATCCCCCACTGGTCCCCCAGGCCCGACCTCCTAACTGACCCCCCACTCTCCCACCCCACCCCCGGCAGCGGCCCCCACCGGGAGCCCGGGCTGCCTCACGTCTGGCAAGTCCACAGAGCACCAGCCTGAAGGGCATGAGCACGTAGCACAGGTAGTAGGCCTGTGGGACGACCCTCATGCAGCTGTCCTTGGCGTCGTCGAACACGCGCGCGCACTTGGAGTACGGGCTGCCGAGCTCCGCGTTGCACACGTCGCCGATGTGCAGAAGCCAGTACCACACGTTCCGGAGGGCCCTGGCTGGGGACAGTGGTGGGGCTGGCACCGGGCCGGATGCTGCGGCCTCTTCTCAGGGGTTGAGGAAGACTCCACAGTGCCCAGAGCCGGAGAGGCCTGCAGCCAGGAGCTGGCTGAGCTGGATCCTGTGGGTACCTGTCAGCAGCACCCAGGGGGGCCGAAGAGGCCTGGAAGGGGTGAGGAGATTGGGTAGTTTTGACCCCAAAGCCATTACGTGAATGTGCTTACCTATATGCTTCACGCCATCCATGACTGACCGGAAGAACTTGCGGACCCGGTCCGCCACCTCCTTGGCCTTCTGGGCAAGAGCTTTAATCTTGCTCAGGGCACCTGGGGGGCAGGGCAGGGGAACCGTGGGGCCTTCTCTTCCAGGAGCTGATTTTCGCCATCGTCCCCAAGTAGGGAGTGGGGACCCGGATGCTTGGGTCTGGGAGGTAGTTAATCGGCAGTGGAGGAGCCAGAGAGCGAGAACCAGGGTGTCCAGCTGGGCCACGAGGCCCCTCCTGCAGAGAGGCATGAAGCCAGAGGACGCCGAGTATTCAGGATAAGGGGACTGTGGGGGCCGCCGGGCAGTGGGGCTGAGGGGCTTACTGACGAGGGGCTGTTTGGCCCGCTCCAGCAGCGCCGCCGTCTGGTTCAGGGCCAGCTCTGCCCCGCAGGCTACGGCCTCGCTGGCCCGGGTGAAGTTGCGCAGAGTGTTGGCACAAGGTCCTTGCAGCACCAGCCCGAAGGCGGCCACCAACAGCAGCGTCCGGCCCTGCTCTGGAGGGGATGGCGCCATCAGAACCAGGACCTCGGCCCGGACAGAGTACTTCCCTCCCTGCCCCCTCCCAGGACCTTCCTGCCCCAGCCCCTGCCCTGGCCCTGCGCCCTCCCCAGGGTGCCAGGCTCACTGGAGAAGGCCTGGGGCAGCAGCAGGAAGACGGAGACGCGGACCTGGCGGGAGAACCCCATGCCCAGGCTAAGGCAGGCCGCCAGAGTGAGGGTGGTCACCAGGCAGCCCCAGGGGCTGTGCCCTTCCACCAGCAGCTCCAGGAGCCCATAGGCCGTGGCCAGCACTAAGCCCAGGGAGAAGCTCCCCGCGCTGCGGACCACGGCCCGTGCCATGCTGGGCTCCTCATCCAGCAAGGGGCGCACCGCGCTGCCCATGACCGGGGACGTGGCGGCTGAGAACAAATGTCCGCCTGTCTCCAGGAGACGCCTGCCAGCTTCGCAACCCTCGCACCAGGTTCTGAGTTCCGGCTGCTGCCGCTGGACACGTCCTGCATTCCCTTACCCAGCTTCCAGGACTGGCGAGGGGACAGGTAGGTCTCTAATCTCCCTCCCAGCATGTCAGAGCAGAGGGATTAAAAGACACAGACTGGGGGCCAGCAGCTGGTGTGGTGGTTACTGGCGCTGGACTCCCACATGGCTGACCGCAATTCGAGACCCGGACCTGGCAGCTTGCTTTCTCACTTTCCATCTCTCTCTCTTCCCGCCCAATCTGATCAAATTAAAATAAAATAAATGAAGTTAAACAAAACAATTCATTAAAAAAGACACAGATTGGAGGGCCAGGAGGTGGCACGGTGGTTAAGGCACTGTATTCTCACATGGGTGATTGTGGATCTAGTCCTGAATCTGGCGGCTTGAAACACACCAGGTCTGTGTGCATGCGGCCCAAAATCCCAAGAGGAGCTGCAGTATGGCCAGCCCCTCCTGTGGGGTGACTTCTTACTTTCCCTCTTTCTTTTTCTCTCTGTCTCCAATGAGCACACGTGCCCTATGATAAAAACCTTAAAGAAAAAGGACTCAGATCAGCACAAGCTGCCAGCAACAGAGACGGGCAGCCCCTCCTTTCTCTCACAAGGCCCTCACGTCCAAGGAAATCCGTAAGGAGACAGCCGGAACACAAGGGGTTCCCCGGAACAGACTTATGGACGTTAACCGTCTTTGGAGTGGAGCACATGGGCAAAGGAGGAAACCACCCCATTCCAGTGAGTCAGCCGTCAGTGCCTGCCCCTCCCAGCAGCCTCCACTCCTCCACTGTCTCAGCCATCTCTCCTCCAGAGACCCCCTGCCCTCTTTTCCCATCTCAGGATCCTCCAGCCTCCTCCCCTTCTTCCAGCACAGCCCTTTCCTCCTCTTTCCTTCACACCTGTCCTATTTCCTCAGGGCCCCTCATCCTCCTCCAGGATCCCAAGGTCTCTGCCACTGTTCTCCAGGGTCCCCAGCCCCTATGTCACTGCAAGCCCCTTTCTGAGTCACACCCCAGCCAGGAGAGTGGGCTATTGAGCAACTGGCCCTCCTCACAGCGGTGCAGAGACTCCTGAGCTGGGGGCTGCCGGCCTCCTGGAGCCGGTTCC